CACTTGCTCAAGCCCTAGGACCTGAATGGCTCCAGGCTCTAACCATTTACAGTGACATCAAGAGTTTCTAACTTATGTAAATCAAGCTATCTGATCTGAAAAAGAGGAGGGAGAATTGGGCCTGAGGTGGAGCTTCTTCCATTAAAGTAGAATATGCACCTGAGGCCTGAGGAAGCCAGCAATGAAGACCAAGTCCCCTTCTCTGGTGGGGCCTGGGGGTTAGCCTGGTGCCTTTTGGTCCCATGGCTAGTGGCCGGACAGAGCCTAGGAGGAACTTGTAGAGCACAAGCCTGTGTTGACAGCCTAGGATCAGGTGCCTTGTGACTTCCTGGAGGAGGGGGTAAGGAAAGTCTAGGCTGAATTGGAATCACTATATTTGATCTGGGGAAACAATAGCAGTCAATTATATGTGGCTATGGTCTGAATGTGTGCCTGCAAAATTCATATGTTGAAACCTAATGCCTGATGTGATGGTTATTTGGAGGTGAGACTTTAGGAGGTGATTAGGTCATGAGCCCTCATGAATGGGATCAGTGCCCCTTATAAAAGAGGCCCGAGAGCTCTCTCACCCCTTTCACACTGTGAGGACATGGTGAGAAGGTACTGGCTACAAACAAGAAGTGGGACTTTCCCAGAACTCAACCATACTGATGCCTTGACCTTAGACTTCCAGCCTCCAGAACTGGGAGAAATACATTTCTGTTGTTTATTACCCACCCAGTCTGTGGTATTTTATTATAGCAGCTCAAACAGACTAAAATATGTGCAGTAATAACTTCTGGAATTTAACTATATGCTTTTGGGCTGAATGAATAACCACCATGCAAAACATTCTGATGGCTCACTCCACTCAGAGGGCGGGGATGGGCACTGGGAATCTGCTAGTCCCTCAGGTGGTCTCTTACTGTGATTAGTTAAAAGTACCCTAACTGTTGTAACAAACCACAAGATGTATAGTGACTCAAACATGATAGGTTATTTCTAACTTAAGTCCTAATCCAGTGCCTCTGACTGTGAAGTAGCTCTCTTGATGCAGAGATTTGGAGACTTGGGGCCTCCCATCTTACGGTTCCACTATTTCCAACGTATGCCTTCCAAGAGCACTCTGTAGGTAGGGGAAGTGCACCTAGAAAATTGCACAAGGCTCATTTGTTTGAGAAGGCAAGGAATGGGCAAATACCACTTCTACTCACATTCCATGAGCTACAACTCAGTGAATATGCCCACATCTATGTGAGCGTAGTAGAGGGGAGAAATAGAGGTGGGTTGTAGGCCTAGGAGAAGACAAAATAGATTCGGTAAACAACATCTTACTATGCTAAATGTGACTTTGCTGTTTAAAGACACAGATTTTTCTTTTACAAAGGGTCTAAATCAATCACTCTATCTGGTATTCAACCAAGAAGTCATTTGCTCCAATGCTGGAGAAAAACAGCCTGTGTTGAACTTCATCAGAGATCACACTGTTCTGTATTTTACGAGCAATTTAAGGGAACATCAAGGATAAATTTGGTACTTAGAAACTGGCTCCGGTGCAGCTGTATTTCCATCAAGGCCTGTTTTCCTATCACTGTGGTGGATTTTTATCTCCCTCATCATACGATAGGTGCTGAGCCTATCTTCATGCATACAAATTAAAGAGCAGCTTCCTCTATTACCTTATAGAATCACACAACTTTGTGAGGTACAGGTAGCAGTCAGGGTAGGCCAAATCATGCTGTGGCAACACCCACCCCAAATCTCATTTAATACAGCAAATATTTCTTGCTCCTGCTGTATATCTATTGTAGGTGAGCTGTGTCTTGTCTTCATGCCATTTTCTCCCTGGGACCCAGGCTGATAGAGCAGCCTCTATATGGAATATTGCTGGTCACCTTGGAAAAGGGAGGTGATGTCACTCTGCCTTGTATTTCATTGGCAGAGTAAGTCACATGGCCAAGCCTGATGGCCATTAGCGATCCATGTGGAGACATCAAGTAATCAATAGAAATGAGCCCACAGCTCGAGTGAGATCAGAAATGGAGAGATTTTGAAGTCAGTAGCATAGAGAGGTTCTAAAGCCATGAGACTGGTGAAGAATGTAGCTGAATAAGGGAACGGGGTCTAGTATGACTCATAATTTAGACTGAGCAGAGGAAACAGAGCTGGCCAAGGAAACTGAGGAATGGCTAGTGAGGTGGAAAGAAGTGAGTAGGCTATGTCACAGGAGCCCAGTGTGAAATGGGGGTGGACACTGTGCCACATGATGAGAGAGGCCGAACCAGAACCTAACTACTAGGTCTAGTGACAGGGACATCATTGGTGATGCCAATTTGGGCAGTTTCCGTGAAGCAAGAGATGGAGACAGAAGCTAATTGGAGTGGCTTAAGGAGATAATGAGAGATGAGGAATGGAAACTGAGAAATGTGGCTGTGAAGGAAAAAGAAGAGAGGTGGCAGCTGGAAGGAATGTGGGGCCAAGGGCCAGTTTATATGTTGGTTCTATGTAGGAGAAAGTAGAATATGTTTGTATGTCGGTGACAGGGGGAGGAATTGGTGGTGCAGGAGAGAAAGGTGATTGATGCAGAAGGGGACTCAAGGACTTGGGAGCCCAGGAGAGGAGCTGGGCTTCATGGGTACAGGAAGGAGGACAGAGTCCAAATGCCATAGTTAGGAGAAGGGAAGGGGCGGGTCCTCCTGCCTGATTTACTTTTATTTTCTCAAAGAGGTGAGATAAAGTGGGCAGAGCTGTGGAGGTTGACAGGAGAGGTGTGAAGAGTTGTTCCTAAGGAGATCTAGCGCAAGATAGTGTAGTCAGAGGTCATTAGGCCTTGAAATTTGTTTACATGAGTTGAAAATGAGTTGGCATGTAAGGTGATCCTTCTCCGGCAACACAGAGCTGGGTAGGGTGGTATGGGGCCTTTCCCGCTAAGCATCATGGGGCAGAGGGAGAAGTGATGGAGTTAAGGGAGGTCTCAAGGGAGTAAATTACTTGGACAGGATTGTCACTGAAGCCTGGAGTTGGAGGGATGGTTGTTGGTAAAGCAGCTGGAATCACAGGATGGCCATGGGAGGGATAATCTCTACCATGGATGACCTTGCCTGCTGTCGCTCACCCCAAGAGGCCCTTGGCAATAAACATTGCTAACTTTACAGGTGCCAGGTACGTGAAGAGCTTTATATTAACTACTTCTCAAGGGAAGATGGCAGAGTGTTTGGAAGAAACAGAGGTGGAGGGGGTGACTCACCTGCCTGTTCCAGAACACTGAGCCAGCACCACCAAATGCTGTGGGCTAAACAGATAGCCCCTACCTCAACAAGCTCAAACTTGAGTAGAACCACCAGCCACACAAATGCAGCCCAACTTGGAAAGGGACAAGGCTCAGGGACAAATGGGGAGAAAACAAAGAAGACTAAAAACAGCTTCAACGTTGCTCAATAGGAAAACTGCCGTCCCGTTTCACAGGAAGAGATCAGAGATGCTGAGTTGCCCCCTCCAGCCACACAGCAAGTAAACCCAAGCTTCTCTCTCCACCCCTGGGGGATTTTGCCTCCTCAGCAGAGATGGGCAGGCCTGGCAGCCACAGCTCTACTTGGGCCAAAGGGCTGGTTAACCTTGCAGCCTCCATTTGTGTTCCCAGACGGATGGCACTCAGATCCTTCCCCCAGGAAAGGGCTCCTCACTACTCTTGGCAGAGGGTGGGGCTCCTCACTACTCTTGGCAGAGGGTGGGGAGGGGCCACCCCGCCCTTGATGCTCTTGAACCCATACCAGAAGCCTAAGGCAGCAATCCAGTTCCTACTGCCCTTGGGCAGGATCCTCCCAGTCATCTGACGTCCCCATCTGAGAGGGACAAGTGCACAGATGCCTTGTACAGGCCTGCCAAGTGTGCAGTGTGACCAGCCAGTGGCAGCAAAGGAAGCCCCGCAAGTGCGGCGGGGTAGGGACGCAGGATGGACGCACCTGCAGCCAGAGCGTTAGACTCCAGAACTCCCTGGCCAAGCTGGGCCCCTGGAGGAATTGGCAGTAAGATGTTCCTAGTGCAGGAGCCCTCCCCGAGGGGCTGGCCCCACCCTCTAGACTGTGGCATCATCTCCCCCACCTGGAGTCTAGGAAAGTTGACTAAAAGGACAGTCTGGCTGATGAGTAAGACTTTAGGGCCACATTCCTATCAGCGTGACTTCGGGTTAGTCTTCTCCCCGCCCCAGTTTCCTCTCCCTTTTACAAATGTGAGTCTCTAGTAACTATCTCAAGCTTTCAGGGGTGTTCTCTTCCCATCGCCTACATTAAACCCTCCAGTGACATGCACTTGAGGCAACAGAAGAGGGTTTAAATGCCCAGGAGTGTTACGGTTTATTTGTCGATGCAACATGAAGCTAAGGCACAGTACGGCTGCTTCCAAAAACTTGAGGAACAGCAGAGGACTGGAGAAGCAAGCCTTTTTCAGGCCCATGGCCCCCGGTCGCATTTTTGGCTGTGGACTGGGCCTCAGACCCTAGCCCCAGTAGACCCAAGGCTGTGTGGAAGAGGTTGACAGGAGTGGAGCCGTCAGTGATGAGGGTTGATTTCAGACCCAGGCTCTGGAGCAGTTTTACCTGGAGGGAGCAAGAAGTTTGACCATGGTCCCTTCCCTCATCCCCTTGGCCACTTCTCTAGGGCAGGGGCCATCCGTTTTGGTCTGACACTGTAGCTGCCACCAAAATCATCCTCGTAGGATTAATCAGAGAGCATAACGGGAGCCTGAGGGTTTCATTCTCAGGGCCTAGAAGGCCTGAAAGATCTGGCCCCACCTGCAGCTGCCTCTAGCAGCTCACTATTCGACCCTTCGCTTGCCAGTTCTTTATGTTCCTTAAATGCACCAAGGTTCATTCGCTTTGCGTCTTTGCACTTGGACCCTCTCCTGGAAAGCTCCTGTCAACTCTACATAGAGCTCAAGTAAACCCTCTTCAGAGTGACCCTCTTTAGACCAACTAATTTGAAATGTCACTTCCTCTCACCGTATCACCCCACTTGTCTTTCTTCAAAGCACTTCTCACACTGATGTCCCATCTGTTTGTTTTGTCCTCAGAAGCTCTAGCTCACCGTCGAGTCTAGTACAGTGCCCTATGTGACACCATGCTCAAATGATACAGGTCAGGACACAGGATACAGGACAGTTCTGTCACCCCTCTGTCTCCAGCGTCTCTCTAGATGTATTTGCCTCCCCAGCTCTGCCTTCTTGGTTCCAAGTATGGTCCCAACACACACACACATCCCCCTGTACGCTCACCTGCATCTCTGGCCCTGCCACGGCAAGGTCCCTGATGGTGCTGGGGCCCAGGGCCTCCGTCATCAGCTTGAACTTCTTCACCTCCACCTCAGCCAGCTGCTGGGCCTTACTCACCTCCAGCTCCAGCTGGGCCCGAGCATAGACCAGTTCTAGCTCTCGCACTTTCTGGACCCGCTGAAGCTCAGCCTCCTGTAAGCGGAAACCCAGCATTCTGTCAATAGTGTTGCCCCTGGGGACTATCCAGCAAACTTCCTAGCCAGCAAGCTGGAGAAAACTGAGGTGGAAGGGCTGGAATTTAAACTTATAGTCAGTTAGGTGAGAATCTTGGCTGTGCCACCTTTCAAATAGCAACCCATGGGAGCCCCTTAAACCAAGCCTCAATTCCCTCATCTGTAAAATGGAATGATATCTACCTTAATGGGGTTTCAAGAATTAAATAAGATCATGCATGTAAAACAAGCAATACCTGGCACAAAGCTGGCCAGTGTTTGAGCATGTATTACATGTAAGATGTGTGTAATAATCATCTTTACCTTTCAGGCAGGTATTAGGTGAATTGATAGAGGGAAATGACCTTATAAACCACAAAATATTTGAATAGGGTTGTTTGTTAGGGTACTTGACATCCTACTCAGCTTCAGGGACTGCAGGGATTAAGCCTCTTGCAGACCCCAAGGCCACATCCTTCCACGGGCACCTCCCCTACTCACCGTCTCAATGGCCAAGGCCTCTGCCTTCAACTTAGCCTGCAGCACAGAGCCTTGTCCCTCAATGCGTGCTGCCTCTGCGCGGGACTCGGCCTCCGCCTTGGCGGTCCCAGTGCTCTCCACAGCAGTGCTGCAGGGATTGGCAGGGTCAGGAGAACCCCAGGAGAGAGCCCCGCCCTGCCTTTCTCTGGCCTTAACTTATGCTGTAGCAGCTTTCACACGCACACACCCCTGTCTTCAGTCAGCTGTTTTGCCAAGACCCTCAGCAGGTGACGGGCCAACTTTTCCTCTAGTTCTTGACCCACCTCAGAGCCTCCAGCTCCAAGAGTTCTCTGCGAGCTTTCTCAGCTTCTGACTGGTCCAAGATCTTCTGCCTCTCAAGGCGGCCACGGGCTTCTTGTTCTAGTCTCTGAGCCTCATGCCTGGATGGGAAAGGGGACAGGGAAGATGCTGGTGTGGCGCCAGAGCTGGGGTGCCCAGGACAGAGGTGCCCCGGCCCATGGGAGGCGCTTATTATGCAAACAGAAGAATGGTGTGTGTGCTGCAAGCCTGGAACGATTCTAGGCTCAGGGGAACCTGGTCATGACTGAGGCCCCTGCTTTCACAAAACGTACTTTCCAGTGGGGAAAAACAAGTCAATGAAGATGATTTCAAACCATAACAAGTTCCCTGAAAAGGGGAGACCCGATAATGACTTGGCAAAGAGGGTGCTGCTTCAGTTGGGGTAGAAAGAAAAGGGATCTCCAAGGAGGTGACCTTTGGGCTGAGGCCAGAGAAGCCTGCCCTAAAGCATCCAGGGGCACAATACCCTGGGTAGAGGGAGCAGACAGTGCAGAAGGGTTTAAGGTGGGAACCCAACTGTGAATTTGAGAAGCAGAAAGCAGCCGGTGGACCTGGAGCATGTGAGCCTGAGGAGGAGGCTGGAAGGTGAGATGTAGGAGGCAGGGCTGGACCCCAGAGTGCCTAGAAGACCACGGAAATGAGTTAGGTTCTAGCAAGAGCAAGGTGAGAAGCCACAAGAGCAGGATGGCATCTAGTCACATAGTCCCACTTCGAGTAGGCTATCTGCTGGGTAAGAATAACAGCAGACTGACCGTCAGGGGATGCCACGTTACCCAGGGCCCAGCAGTGGGCTGGAGATGGGGACCCTGGAGATGTCTAGCCCTCAGTGAGCACTGTGGGCAGCTGCCCTCACTCACCTGGCAGCTGCCTCCTGCCTGAGACTTTAGGGACATTTGAGTGAAGGAGATGGGGTAGGGGCCAGGTTTCTCAAAAAGCAGGGTTAGAGCTCTGCCCCCAGCCAGAGGAAGCCTGCAGGTACCGAGGCCAGGAGAGAAGGAGCCATCTAGATGTGTCCACATTGTGGTGGTCTCTGCCTGATCTATCCTAGCTCTGAAAGCCTCGATAATAAAGGCGGGGGCTTCCACTGTCCTGACTTCATTTTCTTCGAAATACTCTTGGACTGGGGCCTGGGTTGAGGGGAACTTGGGGGAGAAGGAAGATCCATCTGGCTGTTTTTTCTTTAGTGTTTACTGGCTGACTCCTTCCTGTCATTCCACAGTGACCTCAGAGCCCTCGCTGCCATCCAAGCTCATACCATGTCTCTTGTCCACCTGCTTGCTTTCTTTTACGACAGTCACTAGCTGTCTACATTTATTTGTATACCTAATATTATCTATCCCCACTAGAATATAAACTCCACAAGGGCACTGACTTCTTGTTCCTTCTCTATCCCTTCCTACAATGAAGATTATCCTAACCTGGCATATCATAGCTGCTTAATATTCACAAATAGATCAGTTGGTTTCTCAGGGTGCAGTCCTTAGACCACCCGTGGGATATTTCTTAAAAATTCAATTTCTTGGACCCTGCCCCAGACTTTCATAGTTGGAATCTGTAGGAGTGGGGCTAGAAGTCTGCAACTTTATTTATTTTAATAAACTCCAGGTGATATAGTCTTCCTGAGAATGTCGAGAATCAGTTTCTTAAATATTTGGGGGGTGCCTACCATATAGTAGACATTGTCCTGGGCATCTGTCCCTAACAGCTACCCCTACCATCTGAGCTTTCTCTGCTGGCTGGCACTGGCTTTTTAAGAACTATATTGAACCTAACATATGCCAGATCATGTGCT